GAGCTGGAGATGTTTGATTACTTTTCTTCTTTCCTCCTGTCCAGCCAGGTGGAAATCCATGTAATCTATAACATCGTTCTTTAAGATGGCCAATGGCTCCACAGTGAGTACAAACATGACGAGGTCTCTGTTGATAATTCATGGCATTCACACTTCCTTCAGTTATAACATCTTTGCCAGTCACTTGAAAAGCAGATGGTGGTGGTGAAGCACCTACAAAGCCTTTAGCAGCAGAGTTGACAGTTCTTTGACTTTGATCTTGATCTAGCATGTAATAGATATCACTTAGACTTGGTCGATTCTTCTTGTTGATAATCTGACCACGAATGTTTGCATAGCTATCATTTAAGCCCATAAGAAACTGTATGATTCTGCTAGTCTCTGCATCATCAAGTAATTCTTCAACCTTCCCACAGTTGCATTTACATACCATTTGTGACTTTGTGCTGGCTAAACGTTGCCATAGAGTTTTCATCTTGGTATAGTAAGTGGACAAATCCATCGATCCCTGACGAAGAGTGAGAATATCTTGTTCCAATTGATATTTCCGTGGCAAGCTATTAATGTGAAAACGTTTCTTCAAATCAATCCAAATTTCAGCCGCATCACCAAAATACAAGATACTGTCATAGATCTCTTGATTCACCACATTCAGAAGCCAAGACTTAACCATACTATTGCATCGATTCCAAATCTTGTAAATAGGTTCAGATTCATTCGGTCTTGGTAAAGATCCATCAATAAAACTCCATTTGTTCTTAGATTCCAACGCAATAGTCATTGCGACACTCCAGCTATTGTAATTAGCGCCATCTAGGTTGTGTGAGACAAGAGATAAACCTGGATGATCAGCCGCATGTAAGAAGAACGGACTGTGAGAGCTTTCAATGGATTCAATTCCAGAAGAAATCCGTTCAGCTGAGTCACGAGTCACGTAAGTTCCATTGTTTCTTCGATTGCAATCAGCAGTTCTAGAATCAGATGGAGGAGATCGAGCACGTCGAGAGGTACTCGGAGACACCGGATTCGTAGAAGGGGAACGATTGCGAGTACGCATCCCTTTCTTCGCCATGAGCGAGGGTGAGAAAGAGTTAATGAAAAGAGAAAGTGAAAGGAGAGATGAAAGCGGAAGAAGAATCCGATCTAGAGGTGATCGGAATGAGAAGAATGAGCTCGGAACAAGTCACCGGAGAAGAGAAAGCATCACCGGAAAAAGTTTGTTACGAGATTGCTCTGATACCATATTAGAAGAATAACTAAATAAGGTTTCTTCTCATTCGCTGTAAAATGTGTTACAAGTATTGTTTATATACAAGCTAATAACCAAAGTAAACCAAAGATAAATTACATCAAGTAAACCGGATAAAGGAAACCGGATTACATAATCTGTTATTTCACTGCTTCGTTCACTTCGCGCGAACAGCTTTTACCGTCACTATGTGAGCTCATCATCTTTGGTGTGCAACCAATCTGACTGAGTCCGAAAATTGCCACCTTCCTCGCTCCTAGACGTACGGTGCAAATTCTACAATATCGCATATAATCAAAAAAAATTACAAAGCAATATAAGCAATGAATGAGGATCTTAAGATTATATCAGATGACAAACATATCTAAATGCATGGTTCCAATTTACCTTTAAGTAATAATAATGAGAGAATATTCGTATTGTTTAGGGGTGTAGCGTCGTTTGGTGTTGTACCAGTTTGGCATGAAATAATTGTTGTTGCAAAAATGGTGAATATGATAGTATTTTATAAAAGCCTCTTTGCCAAATAATTTGACACGTAAAGTATGTATCGATATAGTGACACTGTTGCATGCATGCCTTCACATGACACAATCATACACGAGACATACCATTATGTGACGTACTTTCTCGTTTCGGCGATGCAAGTGAGTGAAGAAATTGAGTCCTGTGTTTCTCTCTCGTGTTTTTTAGATCTGTTGAACTTGCTAGGGTTGATTGATATCTTAATTTTTTTCTGTTGAACTCAAATTTCCTAATGTCCAATGAAAGTGTCACAATACAAATTTCAATTTTTATTTATTTTTAGGTTGATTTCCCCTCTATATAACTTTTTTTTTTCTCATCTGTATATAACTAATTTCTTGGAGCACATAGAGCCAATACTAAATGTGTATCACTTCTTTAAGTTATTATGCTTTACAATATATTTATTTGTCTAAACTAATATAATTGATGACTAGCCTCCAAGAATTAGAGTTATTTTTGTGCATAAACTGTATGTCCTAATTTCATCATCTAAATACTTTTAATCAATATATGTTTTATATATTCTTCCAGTTAATGTATATATTCTTCAGCATATGTAAAACAAACAATATCATAATTTACCATGTTACAAATTTTTTTTTTTGTCAACCACACATTCATGAAAAATTTATGCCATTATTGTTACAATATTTTTTCTATCTTACATTGTTGAATTTCTCTTTTTCCTTCTTCTTACAATGTGATGTGGTAGAGCACAAGATGTGAATTCCTTTATTAAATTAAACATATGAGTTTATTTTCATCTTCTAAATAACTCAACCAAAATTAAGTGTAAAGTTTTTATCGATTACGGTTTATTTTCATCCATCCCATTTTTATTTGTATTTGATGTCTTATGAAGCAAATGTATGAAAATGTGGCAATGTGATTGCATTTTTTTTTTCAAAATTAACAGTAAGAGAATTTATTTTTAATTGCATTAATTTTTGTTTATCTAAATTTCATATTTGGATTAGATTCATGTAAGCTTTATTTTATATGTCATAATTTTTGGGGACTTCACTTTAGATAATTGTATTTACATTATTTTTATTGAACCTATTTAAATTATCAGTTACATTAATTAATTTAGTTTCCATTTATTCACAAAGATTCATGATAATCTATTTAGATTTTGTTTTATTAAGTTAGTTTTGAAGAAAAATGTAAAATATGTTGATAATTATGAATTATTTATTTTTGTTGACATAAATTTCAAGCTAAAAATACACCATTTATGTGTTTAATTTTTTATTTTAAATATAGTGTCGCAAAATATTTAAAACCATTTAAATTGAATGAATAGTATGAAATTGGATGGATGATAAAGTTGCACAGATTATAAACATATTATGATTTTAAGTCAACTTCATAGAGCTTTTATTGGATTTGTCAAAAAATCGAATTCAAAAATGGCACAAAGCGTGAATGTTGAAACCATCCTTCTCTACCTCTCTTACAATATCTACCATCCTTCAATATTTCCAACAACAATAACTCCAAACCATGTTCAACAACAGTCATTTGCTACTGCCTCCAAACCGTATATTCTAACCATAGTAAATCAAAACGTAGACAAAGAACTTATGATGAGCTTGTAAGCAGAGAAGATCGCGAACTCCTTAGCTTTACCCATGGTATTCAAAGCTGCCTTGGAGCATGGCATTATTGAGATGCTTGATGCGTGTGTGGCTCTCCCCTTCCAAGATAGCAATGAATCTCTCTGTCAAGCCAATCCAGGATGGACAGTTTAATTAGACTGGATGCTGCGTTTCCCTTACTAATCATTCAATCTTGAAGTTTCGTATGGTTGAAAATATATGTTTGTCAATTACTAATATATGTTTTCTTTTAAATACATTTTTTTGGTGGATTTCTTTCAAATACATTATATATGCATTATGTGGATTTTATGTATTTTTAATAATTAATTCTTTCTCTATTTAATTAGAAAAAGATGATACTACTTTATTGTAAAGGAATAAAGCATTAGTTGCCAAAAAAGGAAAAAAATAATAAAGCAATACTTTTTTAAATTTCGGCACATCTATTTGGATAAATCATTGGATAAAAGAAATTAAAGCTGAATCGTTCAAAAAAATATTTTAGAATCTTTGTAAAAAAAACACTTTAAAAACTCGAATATACGATGGAATCTGAAAACATGAGAGCAACACACTAAAAGGAATGGGACTAAAGTAAGAAATTTAACTAATATGATTTATACAGTTTGTTTGAGGATGCGTGGACCGGTGACTTGACTTAGTAATACGTTTGACTTTTTGATTAATGACTATTTTTTTTTTCTTTCGTATCAAAAAAGATTTGGTAAAAAAAAAAAATTGTATTTGTTTATTGTATTCTATTTCTATGTTTTTTTTTGTCATCTATTCTATTTCTATGTTGTAACAATGTAATACAACATTAAAATTTTGGATAATATTATTATGATTTTGATTCAAAATACTCATGTGATATTTTATCTAATATATACGAGAACAAATAAAACCAAATTGACATTGTCGTGGGGAGTAAATGCGTGGCACGATCATGCTTTGATAGTTTATTTCGTTCTTGCTTTATTTTTTTATTTTTTATTTATTTCGAATTCCATAATATGTTAAAAATATATATTTTAAATTTTAAATTTTAAATTTTAATTTTAATATACATGATTATAAAAAAATTGTAAAATTGTAGAAAAAACTATGTTAGATTTTGACAGGACAAAACATCTCTATGCTGGAATGAGAAAAAAGAAAGAACATTCTAACATGCTTTCCTTTGCCGGGACATCAAATTGACCAACCAACTAATCGATCTCGACTTAAACCGGATTCAAAAACTTATCAAAACCAAAAAAAAACTAAAAATTAATTGCTTATTAATATATATAAAAAAAATTGAAATGAATTCACCAAAGCAATTCGGAACAAAAAATTTCAATTTTCATTTAAATCTCTTTTCAAAACTCATTAAACTCATTGAACCGAGCTAAACCAAACCAACCCAAAATTCAATTCTTAATTATAAAAAAGGCATCGACACGTACAGTTTTGGAAACACGCATTCTCAAAGGCGCGTGGGATTTATAAGGTATGGAGTAAAACACAATTACACAAGTAGCCAATTATAAAACTCCACGTTTAAGCTACAATATGTTTTAAGTACTGTATGTGTAAAATAAACAAAAATCATAATAATCTCTCTACCTCAAAAAAAAACATTTACTTCGTTTTTGAACCCAAGAGTCTTCTTCCTTCTTCTTCTTCTTCATTCTTCATTCTTCATTCTTCGTTCTTCTTCGTCGTCTGTGTACAGAGACATACCTTCATTTTTAAAGAGAGTGAGAGAGATAGAAGAGACAAAGAGAGAAAGAGATCAGAAGAAGTAACAAAATCGTGAAGGGGGAAAAACTTATAGAAGAAATTGAAATTTTACCTAAAAGGAAACGTTTCAATGCGTGCATAGATATCGATACTCAAATACTCTGAGAGATTTATTCTGTAACTGCGTAGCTCTCAGTTGTTTTTTCTCTGAGAGCTTTCAAATTCTTTTAGATCTTTGGGTGGAGGTCAAACTACAAGCTCGCGAAGACGGGAACTCTCGCCGTCTCTAGGATCCGATTCCGTTCAGGTTTCATTTTCTAGGCTACTTTGTGTTCGTTTATGCGTAGATGAGTTTGGATTTAGGATTTTTTTGGATCCGATTTGGTTTCGGATTTGTGTAGACTCTTAATTTTAAAACGAAACGGGATTTGATGATTTCGATTTCGTTCTGATCTCGTTCCTGTATCTGATGATTCCTGGGATTTGGGAACATTCGTGTTGACTGAGGATGTTTTGCTTTGAGGCAATGTTCGTGGTTTATCTTTGAATTGGCTATTAGAAGCTGTGGTGATGTTTTGACTTTTCTTGGTTTTAGATAAAGATAAAGTCTTTGTTGTACTAATTTGAAATCGTCAATCCATTTGCCTGTGGATGTTTGATTCTTCTATCTTTATGTTAGATCGTTACAAGTTTCTTCAGCTATAATGGTGAAACTGTGTTGTTGAATCTATCTTGTCACCTTGAGTTTCACACCTTCGATGTGTTATAAATTTGTATGATATTCTTTTTGTTTAGTATGCTGGATAAAGCTAAGAGAGACAGATTGAAACTGTGTTGTTGATTCCAGCTTGTCAGCTTGAGTTTCACACCTTTGATGTGATATAAATTTGTATGACATTCTTTTTGTTTACTATGCTGGATAAAGCTAAGAGAGAAAGATTGAACTGAGAGTAATTTTTGATATCTTGATCTGGTTTAGTTTATTCAGAGTTGTATCTTATGCTTTTCTATTGTTTACTTGCGTTCTGCTCCTTATAGATATCTGATATTCTGAAATGGGTTTTTGCATGTAACTTGTAGGTTTTGATTGGTTTCCTAGCTGCCAAGTGGAAGTTTCTCATATTAGCTGAAGATATTTGTTCCCTCAGATTTGGCAGTGAGTTAAAGGATAAGTGAGATTGAGGTGTTGCAGTATGCAATAAAGGTTTTTATGAGATGAAGGCAATTAGGGGGTGGCGTCTAGGCAAAATTAATTATATGCAGTCTTTGCCTGGGGCTCGCCACCGTGCTCCTACGAAGAAGCCAGTATGGATCATCGCAGTGCTTTCTCTGATCGCAATGTTTGTAATTGGTGCTTTCATGTTCCCTCATCACAGCAAAGCGGCTTGTTATATGTTTTCGTCTAGAGGGTGCAAGGGACTAACTGATTGGCTTCCACCGTCACTGAGGGAATTTTCGGATGACGAGATTGCAGCTCGTGTAGTGATTAGGGAAATATTGAGCTCCCCTCGAGTTATACGAAAGAGTTCTAAAATTGCATTTATGTTCTTAACTCCGGGTACATTGCCTTTTGAAAAGCTATGGGACCTCTTTTTCGAGGTATTCTAGATCTCTTCCCAACTTCTTACCCCACATCAATTGTGTCAGAGGTCTCCTTCTGGCTAAGAAGATACTAGTGATGGAAAGTATAATGAAATAGTTTGAAGTTTAAGTTAGCCGTTTATGCTGTTTGGCAATTCATCAAAATTGTAAACATTGTCTAGAAAATTGGTTAACAACTTGAACGCATCATGTTTTAGGTGGAAGAATACTTAGCTGTGCCTTATGCTTGCAATAGTATCTCTGTGTTTATTTGATTCTTTCTTTTGACGCATCTCTTTTACTGACGTTTTTGTGCTTTTACCTCTTCTCACAGGGTCATGAGGGGAAATTCTCTGTTTATATTCATGCATCAAAGGATACTCCAGTTCACACCAGTCGTTACTTTGTCAACCGTGAGATTCGAAGTGATGAGGTATGTCTCTTTTTCTGTGTCTAATGTGTCTATTTGTAGATACTATGTCATCGCTCTTCATGGTCATCAAGAGAAAAAACCGTAGTTCGGAAATGACTATATTTAGTTGGTGGATGTTACATAAGTTTCTCTTCCTTCTATAACAAATTTCATGAGTGTAATAAAAGAATCATATATGTTTTCTGAAGGTGGTCTGGGGTAGGATATCAATGATTGATGCTGAGAGACGTTTGTTGACTAATGCTCTTAGAGATTCTGAAAATCAGCAATTTGTTTTACTCTCTGATAGGTAATTTCCTGGGAAAATTATTTCTCTTCTCACTGATTATTTTGAGGTTTCCCTAACTAACTTGAGTGTTTCTGGTTTTGCAGCTGTGTGCCACTACGAAGTTTTGAATACATGTACAACTATATGATGTACAGCAATGTCAGCTATGTTGACTGGTAAATATTTTTTTCAAGTTGATTAGATTTGAGAACTATACATGTTTCCAGATTTCTTTATATAAGATATACTCTATTATTCTTCAGCTTTGACGATCCTGGTCCACATGGAAAAGGCAGGCATATGGATCACATGTTGCCGGAAATTCCAAAGGAAGATTTTCGAAAGGGTGCACAGGTAAATAATATTTCACTGATCTAGTATTATGCTGGCCTCGAACTCTGAAAATATATGCTAGGTTACTAAAATACAAAGAATCGGATATAAGAGGCCAATTCTGTGTCATTGTTGGAAGGATCCAATTGATACAACAACAAGATTTTAGGTAGAATTATTTGTGGATTAGTTATTACCTCTGTGTTTAGGAACTGGATTCTCTTGAAGTCCAAATTTCCACTTGCTAGTGTATATTTGATGCACAAATATAGTTATTACCTCTGTGTTATATCATCAACTAAACACATTGATCTGCATATTTGCTTCCATCCATTGTTATCGGGAAAGCATTTTGATCAATTGATGCTACAAAAATTTGCATGACAGAGTTTTCAACAAGTTTCATTGCTTAGTCGATTATCTCTATGTCCGTGCAGTGGTTCTCCATGACACGTCAGCATGCTGTGATAACTATGGCAGATAGTCTTTACTACTCTAAATTCCGGGATTACTGTGGGGTGAGTACGACATAACCTTCAAAAACAATGGTTCTTACCTTTGTTTGTCGATTTTAAAGAGGTGTTACTTTCTATATACATGGAAATAACCACACGTTAATAGGAAGGTTATGTTTTATTCTTCAGCCAGGTGTAGAGAGCAACAAGAACTGCATCGCAGATGAACACTACCTGCCAACATTCTTTTATGTGAGAATCCATTTGACTCTAAAGGAACGAAAATGTTTGTTCTTTTGGTAATTTCTTTATCCATAATATACTTTGATAAATTTTGCAGATGCTTGATCCTACTGGCATTGCTAACTGGACTGTGACGTATGTTGATTGGTCTGAGAAGAAGTGGCATCCAAGAAAATACATGCCTGAAGATATCACGCATGAGTTAATTAAGAACATCACGGTATCATCACTAAACCGCTATGATCTCTTAGAAACTTCCATGACAATTCCCTTGCTTGCTTTCATTGAGATAATTAATCAGTATACATTTTAATCCATTTACAGTCCATTGACGCAGTTGCACGCGTTACAAGTGAGGGAACGGTACGCACCTTTAAACCAAGTCATCGCCACTTGTAAATAGTTACAAATTTTCTGGAATTTTCTCTTTTGCCGAGATAATAATCTCCCTTTTTGTCATGCCTGCAAACACAGGGAATAGTAACATGGACTGATTGCATGTGGAATGGGATCAGAAGACCTTGCTATCTCTTTGGAAGAAAATTTCACGCTGATACTCTCGATAAACTGATCGACCTCTTCGCAAACTACACAAGCATTGTATAGGGCTCATGAGCAATTTTGATTGATTGATGAAATGCAGTGCAAAGGAGGTATTCTTTTGACTCGGATTCTTTGACCAACGTTCAGTTACACCTATGAATCAAATTAAAACCTGAAGCATTATCATGGAACCCCTAGAAGCTGTTAACTCGCTGCAAAGTCCTTTTTAAGAGCAGAGAAAATCGTGTGATCTAAAGAAGCTTAGGAAGTGTTTGGGGTTGTTTTTTTCATTTGGTTGGGGACGTTGGGACATTTTTAACTCATCTGTTTTCACTACATGTCATTGTTATTTGTAGAATTTTCAGAGTGCGTTTTGTTTTTCTCTTCCTTTTGGTGAACTCTTTTGTTGAAAATGAAATGAAAACAAGGCATGATGAGGTTTATACAGTTTAAAAAAGCTGGGCATTTGGCATATTATGGAGTTCTTATATCAATAACTAATTATACAAAGCTGCTATGAAGCATTTCCCTTTTTTTTTTCTTTTTTTTAATCATCAGACACAATTCTCTAGAACTACCCTCTTATTACTGCATATTACAAAAAAATAATATTACAACACCCACAAGATTTGTTCATCGCCGATGTCCGAGAGCCACCACCGGAAGCCTCACCTTATGCCCTCGGCTACCTTTCAATTTCACCTCCCCGAAGCTGTATACTCCAGAAACCGACCTCACGGTCATGGTGACTGAGAACGTTCTAGAAGCACCTGGTCTCAGTGTCATCGCTGGTGGGTCTACTTCGATGGCGATAGACGGCTGCATCCTAGCTGTTATTGTGTATGTTTCTTCTATTTCTGCTACATTTGTCACTCTCCTTGTTATGGTTTGGCTCCCAACGAGATGAGAAACTGCGATAGATGGTGAATTGAAGTTTGAAGGATGTTTCATTTCGTAGTTACAGCGTGTGTTTGTGTAGTTTCTTATCTCATGGGAACTGATCCCTGGGGTTGTGCACAAGAATCCTAGATAGTCCTCATACCCTACAAGAGAAAATTCATTAGTCTTATCAACAAGAGATCAAAGATCTTTGGTCTATCATTGATGAGACATAGCAACAATACCTGCATCAAAGATAAGACCAGGATCTAGAGCAGCACTTGGATTGACATGACCACTTCCATAATCGAAAGGAGTAGCTTTAACAAGTGTTACAGCCTCAGTGTCTGAATATTGCTGCGCCTGAAGAAGCCTTCCTGCTCTGTCTATGACTGTTGAGGTTGTCATCAAAGCTGATTTGATAGCAGCTGGGCTCCATTGAGGATACTTCTGCTTCACAAGCGCAGCTATCCCGGCTATGTGTGGTGCAGCCATGCTGGTTCCTGATATAAGCGCAAATCCTTCACCTGCTCAAGATCCCAAAAGTAAGAAACTATAGTTTGTTTCAAGAGAATCATCACATGGTAGCTTGAGTACTTTGAACGCTTACCAACATAATTGGGCTCGTCTGTTCCATTTGGACACCAAGCAGCCCATATCAGAAAACCGGGTGCAAGAATATCCGGTTTAAGAAGATCAGCATCTTGAAAGCTGAAATCCTTGGTATTGGGTCCTCTAGCTGAGAACAATGCCACTTGAGGTGCTGATTTGTGAAGAACAGGTGCTAAGCCATCTCCGATACTTCCCTGGGCCTTAAAACTTTTTACACGTCCAGTCCAATCCCTTGATGTACTAACGTTGTAGTAATCGATCAAATCCTAAAGATGCAAAAAAAAAATTAGCAGCATTTCAGATTGTGAAAATAGGCTGAGTAGGAAAGCAATTGATGCCCCCATTACCATTGACTTAGACACATCTGTAATCAAGATTCCTGGAATGGCAGAAGGAACTGGATCGAATTTGGTTCCCGGAGATACATTTTCAACAACAAGAACAAAACCAGCTGCACCGAGATGCTTAGCGGTTGCAACGACTTTCTTGATTGAAGCTGTACCAACAACAAAGTTGAAAGAATATCCACAGAGAAGAATGTTTCCCATGACCAATTTCTTGTTAAAGACTTCTGGTCTCTGGCAATCAGATGGATTATACTTTGAAGAAGATGAATCCAGCAAAACATCATTTGCAGAAACCAAAGTGTACAACCGATGAGGGCGAGTTGGTGCTGTAGAGAACACAGTAACAATTCATCAAAAACATCAAAATATAAAATAAGTCTAGGCAATGCCAAATGTAAAAATAAAATTCGTTTTGCTTACGGGATAAGCCCATCCCAGCAAGCATTTTCCCATTCCCAAGGGTCAGATGATTTTTGTATCTGCGATCATCAATTGCAGCGGCGACAGTAGTTATCCAGGGACTATATGATACCAAAGTTTTTGGAAAGGGCCCTCCATTTCCAGCAGCTTGAGCAACGAAAACACCAGCTTTTACGGCCCCAAGAAGTGTAGCATCAAATGGATTCAAGAACGTTGTCTTAGTAGTTGTTGGAGGACTATTCGGACCAACCGAGAGGCTCAGGATATCAACTCCATCATGAACAGCCTGTCATGAAAATCTCAATTAATATCAACTAAGGTAATGTCCATGGAAGTAGCAGTTATAAGGTTAATTACTTGACTCATTTATTATATAAAGCTGATGAAGCTAGCTCGTGTTGTTGAACGAATAGAGCATACACAGCATGATAAATCATTTCATCTAAGCTGAGATATTTTTACGTGCTACTTTATGATCAGTCTTTTCTAGTTTACACTAAGTTCTTACTCTTACCTGATCAATCGCAGCAACTACATCAGCCACAAAGCCTCCAAAAAGCCGGTAAAGAGCCTTGTAAACAGCAATCCTGAAAGACATTAGCCTTTTAGCCTACCAACGTGAAGAATACATCTGTCATAAAACTGCCATTTTACACATCCGCCTACCTTGCACGAGGAGCCATTCCACTCGCTCTTCCAAATTCATAACCATGCATCCTCAACTGAATACCGTTATTCCCAGCTGCTATAGCTGCTGTATGACTGAAAATCCAGCAGAATCAGATTACTTAGTACAATAGAATACATGCATAATGATGCATCTTATCTCCCCTAAGTTACAAAACTATAAAGACAAACCTTCCGTGCCCATCACCATCCATTGGCGATGCATAATCGATATCTGGGTTAAAAGCCCCAGCCGCTTTAGCAGCTTCAGCAAAATGTTGGGCTCCAACGATCTTCCTGTTGCAGAAGCTCTTCTTGGTATGAGGATCTTCTTCACATTTCCCTTTGTAATGAGGAAGAGGGCCATAAGGTAATCTGTGGTGAGAGGCGAAACTCGGGTGATGAGGATAAATCCCTGAGTCAACAAACCCAATAACAATATCTTCTCCTGCTCTATCAAAACCACCTCCTGTTGGCCAAACATCAGTTGGAAGTCCCAGAAACTCTGGTGTATGAGTGGTGAGTCTCCTCACTTTCCAATCTTTGTCTACAGATTTCACACCAGGGGCGCGACGAAGTGTTTCTGCCTACCAAATATAGTGCAGTATTGTAAGGGAACAGGTATTTATAAAATATTACGCACTGATCATAAATCGATTTTTCACCTGCTCTGGAGAAACATGAGCTGCAAACCCATTTATAAGGTGTTTATAGCTGTAAAGCTTTTTGTATGATCCTTCCTCAAAGAGCATCCCAAGAATCATATCGTGCTTCCTCTCTAAGTGACGAGCATACAATGTCACCAATTCACTAAAACAGTAACAGATAGTTAATCTAGCAAGCAATGTATACACAGTTCTTTAATTATCCAGATATCTATACTATTACAATTGAAGAAGTGAAAGTATCGAAGTACCTTGATGTATCAATCCTCTCATCAGATTCGACAGCAGTTGCTTCAAAACCATTTTCTCCACCTTTGTAACTTATAATTGGATCTCCGTCCATAGTCACAATGTAAACATCTGCTGTCACAGTAAAAAGAAGGGCAGAAACGACAAAGATTCTCATCCCGATATCCATTTCGGTTCGCACAAATGAATCCCCAACTTAGATTTTGCTGTAGATTCAACTGCAGCATCCAAATCAAATGAATGCATTAGCATCCTGAGACCAATACCACTACCAACGGAAATTATCACTTCACTCAAACCAACACAACCATTCAAAAACATAGAACTAATCACCTAATCACCGAGAGCTAAGGACATAGTTTTGGTCTATAAAAGGACCAAGCTTTCCCACAAAATGCAGACAAACACATAGTCAAACTACTGTAAAGAGAGACACAAGAATCATCTCCAAGGCCAAGCACACAAGAAAAACAAGAAAGAGATTCAACTTGAATATTTCAGGAACCAAGCATTAAATCCAAACCCAACCAACCTCAAGAAAAGAACTTGAAACCCAGAACACAGCTTAAAGACACAAAGAACTTACTCCAGAGAAAAAAATTGCCTAAACACAATAATAAAGTAAAGAAAGTTCAGCTCCATCTTATACCATTTATAAATACAAAAAAGCTACAAACCCAAAAACAGTAAGTAAGTACAGTATAACAACTATTGCTCTTCAATTAATGAGACAAACAAAGAAGAAGCATAAAAAAAAAGAAGAAAGAATCTTTACTCTCTTAAACCAAAATCAAATCACCAAATCAATTTTTTTAACAAGAGTAAGTAAGAATAACTCACTTTCACAAATCATCCAAGCAAAGAATCAAACAAAAAGAAAGATCCTTTGAAAAAAACTGTAGCAGCTTCTCAATAGAGAGTAGAACCAAAAAGACAAGAACAATGTTGTACGAAACTTACATTTGTGCTTCACGAGACGGAGGAGGAACAGAGAACACAGCTAAATAAATAAAAAAAGTTAGCTTTTTGAAACGAAAGGATTGAATCAGAACCAGAAAGATTAGAAATTTTAGTCACTAAAAAAATTAATCACATTTGCAGAAAAAACCACAGAACAAGTTGATTCAGATCTCTCCTAGACTCTAGTAGTGAAATGATTAAAGAGAAACTTTTTTTTTTGATTCTGGGTTGTTTTGTTCGTAGCAGAGAGAGATCTACCAAAGTATCCAAAGAGAGAAAACAAAACAACAAAACAAAAAAAGGTACGAAAACTAAGTTAAAACCAAAAAGAAAAAAAAGTTACTGTGAATATAGTGATGAAAGAAGTGTGTGTGTGTGTGATTTTTTGTGAGTATTAATTATAAATTTTTGATATTAGTTCTAGGCCTGGACAAAATAACCGGACTCGAAAAACCGATTCGAAAAATTTAATTTGGATATGAACCTAAAACTTGCGAAAAAAAAAAAAAAAACCTAAAACTTTAAAATATTTAAACTGTATAAATTTTAAGAACCAAAAATCCGAACCTGAATCAATGATTTATATAATTATATTATAGTAAAATGGTAAGGAGACAACTAACCAAAAATTACATTATAGATGGTTAATTAGTGTAGATTATCATTTATATAGT